GCAGCTAACTGTTTTTCATCTTCAGAATACTTTGAAGTTTTAAAAAAACTTGTTACTTTACAACTGGAAGCAGATGCATCTGATGATTGCTTATGTTTCTTGGTGGTCAAGTGTTTCGTAATAGCTGCTCTGCCCCCAACTGCAATACAAAATTCTCCGCTGTAAATATTGCAGAAAACAATGTTATCCTTCTTTGATGTGATGAATGGAAATTCCTTATTCAATTTATCGTTAAAATGGCATTTCCTAATTTTTGATTTTTCCATCCCTAAATGGAAGTTAGTCTCCTCCAGGTATCTTCGGGACTAACTAGGAGATGGTGTACTTGGGTAGCAGGGAGGGGTGCAAAGTTCCTGCCAATTCACCTTCGCTGCAGACAACTTGTATGTGCAAAGTTTGCCGGCCGGGTGTTTTGGCGCACTCAGCAGCAATTCCTATTGCCTTTCGAAAGCCAATAGGAGGAGTAGCACAGCTCATGCAAAAGTTGAAAAAAAAACCATCAAAAAAAGGTGCCGGAACGCCATTCTGAGCATTCTATGAGAAAAAAAAGACCTGCAGATTAGTCTTCAAATATCGAAAAGGAGGACATGTAGGAGGACACTTTTCGAGTGAGGACAGAACTTACAAAAGGAGGACTGTCCTCCCTATAGGAGGACAGTTGGTCACCTTAATAAACAGAAAAACAGTGATTTCCAGATGAATTGGAAATAAAATTTTGAAATTAATTTTAAGAAGCCTTCTGTGGATTGTTTAAAATCCTATTATAAATATATGAAGAGTTTGAATCTTAAGTGCAAGAAACTTTTCTGTGGGAAAAACATGGATTAGAGAAAAACATGATAAGAGAACACTTTGAAGACTGGACATCCTGGAAGAATCAAAGATTATAATTAAAAGAAAACAGATCCACTAATATAGAATGGAGAAAGGTATTTTAACTTTGGAAGAATTCAAGGATATTTGGCAGCAATGCACTTCGAAATTTGTCTTAGGTTTATCTGGTATCATAAAAATGGGCTCAAAATAGGAAATAGAATACGATACAACTGAAGGGTCCTTGGTGCTCTCTGAACTTGGTTGCCTTCTTGCAGATATTTCATTACCCAAACTAGGTAACGTCATCAGGATATAACTAAGAACCAGGCTGTTCTGGATATGGATTTAAAAATGATATAAGAATTATATGGAAAAGATTTTAACAGGACTAACAAATTAAACCAGCTGCCAACTAGTATTATTATTAATTAAAAGGATACACAGATAATAAATCAAAGAGTGACCTGGACAACTTTTATCCTGGATTTACAAAAGAAATGTATGATATTCATGAAGGAGTTCCTGAGGGAAAAAAAGAGAAAAAGAAATGAAATAAGCTTTTAAGACAATATTTAAAGAGAATAAACATTAAGATTTTTAAAAGCAAAATGACTATAAAATTGGCTATTTAATCAAGATTAAATAATAAATATGCTGTGCTTTCCCGTATCTTTTATAGTTTTTCATGACCTGGAATGAATGACAAGCCTTTAAAGATTTTTTTACAGATAAGATATGGGAAGAAGGCTTTTGTTTTCTTTTGTATTTTCACAGAAGCTATGGTGATAAAACTAAAGGATTGCAAATTGTCTTCTTCGGTTAAAATATAGATTTAATTTCTAATATGTGTTAAACCTGTGAAGCAGTTTACACAGAGAAAAAATTACAAGAAATTAACATGGGACATATCTGAAGAAATAATTTTATTTATTTATTAATCAATCAACCTTATATAGTCTTCACCCCAAGTAAGTCTGGGACACATACAATAATATCATAAAAATCAATATTTTTTATTTATTGCTAGAGAAAATGATAAGTTACTGGGTTAAAAATAAATGAATGAAAAGAATATTAAGCTAATTATTTGATTAAATTTAAAATATATATGTTATTATTTCTGATAGCTCTTAACAGACTTTTGCTGATAAAGAATGAATGATGGGCTTTATAATTTGTTTATAAACAAAGAATGAGGTATGCGAAGAAAAAATTTGGATGAAATATTTTAGAGAAGGTGAAAAGTTACTGAACTAGTCTATATTTGTCTTGATGAAGGGGAAGTATTTTCTTTGTATATTATATATCTATATCTATCTATCTTTTCACCTTTTTTTCTTCTACATCTAATTTTTTCACTTATATTTTTCATAATTTGTATTATTTTTGTCTTTATATTCCTAACTTTCCCTCTCTAGTTTTATAGATTATAGTTTTCATTTACAACTTCTCTTCTCTGGATTTGAGTGAAAGTCTTTAGAGTAATGTAATGAAATCACGTTGCTCAATTTTATGAAAGTGCTGCAATGAAGCATCATGGTTCACAGAACTACATGAAGACGACATCTCGCCAATCTTAGAAAATCTCAGAAGCCTAGCAATTCTGTGAAAAAACTGGGACATTTGTTTACATAATAGTGTGCATTTCTGAAGAAAAAACTCTTTGTAGAAGTTTGCCATTGACAGACTCCTGCTATTTCTTTAGTACTTTTGATTTTTAAGCTGTAACAACTGGAACAAAATGTCTTGAAAAATTTTTAACTGCAAGCAAAACAGTCACTATTTTGTAGCCTAGTGCTAAGACACCACCACAAAGAGTGATGTGGTTAGCATCACATATAATTGTTTTTTTACCTCCGATTGCTTTTCAATGACCACTTTTACACATCACTCTGTGATGAAATCAATTTCTATAGCAGTTTTTCAAAGAAACAAGATGAGCAAAAAAAATTTCACACTTCTGAACATAGCAGAGTCAGCAGCACTCTGGCATTGTATGTTTACCTCTTGTTTTTGGCTAGTGACAACAGAAAAGATGGTGCTAGGGCAAATGCAATTTATGCCTAGATTCATTAGTATAACAAGTTAGATAGTTTAATGATACTCATAAAGGTTTCACCATGATTCTTTTTAATTTATAGCCCTTTCATATGTCTGTTATTCACTTAATTCTACTTTGCGTATCTAATGTTGCTCACATGCTCTACTTGAATATTTGCACATGTACGTATATTATCCATAATTTTAAAGCATTTAAAATTTAAAGCATTATCTCTCCTTAATAAGCATAATAAGCTACTTTTAGAATTTTGTTATTCAGGAACAGATCAAACCATACATTTATTACAACAAAAAATATAATAAACAAGCTTAGTTACAATTATTGTGAAATTCCTAAGCATTCATATAATTATGAGGCATGTAACTAAATTTTGTCATACTGAAAGCTTCCGATTCAGAACTCAGTTTTATTTTAAAAAGTAGTCACAGTGGCATTATTGGCATAACTTTCTTTTGTTAATTTTTATTAAAGATTTTTTTGCAGAATAAACATCAATACAAATTTAGAAAAAAGAAGTGAATAAAGAAAGCAAAGCAGGAATAAGCTTTCAGTTTAGAGGGGGCATGTTTTAGATCCCTCCTATCACACATCTTCTTGTTGGACCCCTGAGACATGTCTTCACAGTTGCAGACTTTGTCCTACAGAGAACAGCATCTCTCAGAAATGGCTTTTTAGCCTTTCCTAAGATATTGAAAAACTTGGCTGTTTCCCAAGAAGTTGAGGTCAGCATTTAGATGAGCTCTGCTGTTGTGAGGTGTTTTTTTTTCTTTTTAATGGGAGTTATAAAGAGTTTTTGTTTTTTATTGTTTATTTTTGTATGCCTGGGATTAGATGTGATGGGTTTTTTATGTGTGTACGCCACTTAAGAGTCATTTGTGTGAGATCAGCAGCTATAAGTATCTTGTTATTAAATAAATATTTTTAAAACACTTCCCATTTGGTCTGTGCAAACCTAATTATTGTTTTTTAAAGGTATGTCTCAGTTGTTTGAGATCCCCTTGAAATTACAACCCAATTTTTGAGAATCTTTTCTTGATGCTGCTCCACTGAAATGTCTTAGTCATATCCTTTGCCACCATCTAGTGGATGTTTAGACCTTTATAAATCAGGTATGTAGCTGGCCTAAAGGCTTGTTTTTCCATTCACATTATTTTCCATTATTTTTTATCCAACAAGCTCTTAGCGTCCCATGATTGCTGAGCCTATTTGTCCCTGTTGGTCTCCTGGAATTTTCCTCTTCCCTTAAAATCAGGGATTATTTCATGCCTGCTAGTATATGATTTATGATTATTGTATTTTATGATGATGATGATTTATCATTTGTTGCTTGTATGTACACAGAGCTTATGCACCCGAGACAAATTCCAATCACATTTGGCAAATGTTCGGTTCTACTCTACTGTACTCTATTCTATTCTCTATACTAATGCTATACGATACTGTGTTCATTAGTGACATAAAAGATCAAATGGGAATTACAACATAAGGTTACAATTTGGTGAACTCATCTCATTCATTGTCACAAAAACTAAATTAAAACAACAACAAAAGCATGTCGGTATTCATCTAATACAGCATTCTCACCTTTTGGGTCCTCACTTCATTTTTTCCCATTTTTCAGATGGAAGTTTGTAAAGACATACTTTTAAGAATTGTTTAGGAAAATTGAAGCAAAAGGACTATAATTGATTAGCGAAAAAGTCTAAGTTCAGGTATGAAAAAGGAATCGAAGGGGGAAAAAAATGCCATTAACAATTTTCCAATGTACTTTGTGAGCAAGTTGCTCGGCAGTTAGCCGCGACTAATCCTTTGCGGACCGCCGAGTTTCCTAGGGCTCGGACTACAACATAAAGCATGGGAGAAAGCAGAGAAGTAAAAGTAATCTACGTGCTTTCCTGACCACCTTTAATAAAGCAGACTCGCTTCTTGATTTTTTAAAATATATTTTATTCTTTTATAATATGGTTTGAATTGTATTATAGCCCCTTATCAAAGCTGGACATAAGATGAAATTTTCACCATAACTGAAAACTGGTACAATTAGTTTATTCTTCAGGTAGGCAGAAAACTAGCCTTTCAGCGACAAACTTTCTAGAGGTGAATGGCTCCGATGACGAAGAGCCAAATAAAAGCGAGGGACCCGTGGAACCGCAACTCCCCCTCCCTCTGTGGCGGCCGCCGCCTTTCCTTTCGGATGGCCCCGCCCAGCAGGGCCCCGCCCTTTGCTCGCGCCGCCGTAGTGGCTCCTCTGACTATTAGTCGTTCCGCTATCCGGCCAGCTCCTCCCTCGAGGCTTCCAGAGGGTGTGTTATTGTCGCCGAACGGGCGTGATCTTCGTTACTGCTGGGGGGCACGGTAAGGAGCCGCTTGAGGCGGGGTCACCTCGGGATGCTTGGCCCGCCCTCGGGAAAAGCGGAGTGGTGCGTCCCGGTAAGAGCTTCGCCTCTAGGGTTATGAGAGGCGTCGCTCGCCCACCTTCTCTCCTGGGGCCTTGTGAAGGCCCTCGGCTGGTCGCGGAATCGGCTTCCACCGCACTCCATTCCTGTTGGCCTTTTCTCTCTTCCAATAACGGGGAAGGGGCAATTGTGACAGCCTTTCCTCTGTCCTCTCTCCGTGGGTGGCCGACGGGAACTCTGAAGAGTGTGGGAGGCGTTGCGGAACTCTCTCCTTCGCTGCATCTTGCCTCCTCTGCCTCGCCGCCCGCTGCCCGTAGAAAGCCGCCGCCGGGCAACAGGAGGATGGCATCTGGTGGGCCTAGTTTGCTCCCGGTGCAGATGTTTCCTAGTTTTTCCCAGTGCCGCAGGGGATGGCCTCTATCCAGAGAGGAAGGGTCGGGCTTAGTTGAAGGAATGAGGAGGAGGAAGTGTAAGAGGCTCGCTCGTCTCGGATTGCATCCGGTAGTGCTGCTGGGCTAAAAGTGGGTGAAAAACTACTGTCGTGAAGATGGGACGTCTCTAATGTTTTTTTCCCGAACCAACCGCTGAATAGACTTCTATAAATTTTAACAGTTCTGACGATATCTTAGAATATCTGCAAGATACACTATATATGTATTATATGCCAGCATTGGCGAACCTTTTAGAGACCAAGTGCCCAAACTGCAACCCAAAATCCACTTATGCATTGTCGGGTGCCGGGTGGGTGTGGCCCATTGGCCAGGTGTGGCCCATTGAGTGGGTGTGGCTGCAGTGGTAACAGCAGGCTGGGTGAGACTAAAAAGTTCAATCAATCCTAACTTTGCAAGATTTCTTTTTCCCCCAAGAAGTTGAAATTGATTGATTGAACTTTTTTTTTTGTACATGGTGGAGGCGTAAAGCAAAAAGGTTTTATAAAACCCAGCTGAAGGCCTAGGACTGGGGCGATGGCGTGCGTGCCCACAGAGAGGGCTCTGAGTGCTGCCTCTGGCGCCCGTGCCATAGGTTTGCCACCACTGTTATATGCACACACTTAACTGAAAAGTGGAGCTGGAATATATTTCATTCAATCCTATCCCTATGTTTTATTTGCTAGACTAAAGTTTTCTCTTTATAACTCGCCATCTAAACAGCTAATGCTGTGAAAGATTAAGCACTTAAATCTAACCTTTTTAGCAACCCACAAAACTATCAGTAGAGACATAACCTAAAGATGTCAGAATAAAATTGTAAGGAAGCTGTTCTTGAAAAAAAAATATTTATGTATTAGGTAACATTTACCATTTCAAGACGGTCATCTTCAGTGCTGGAAGGGAATTCCCTTTGCTGTATAGCTTGCCCTGTCAATGTTAACGGAGATGTTATTTTCCTCTTGGTAGTTCTTTGATTACATCACTCATTACCAAGAAGCCTACTGACTTTTAGATCAGGAGTCCCCAACCCACAGTCCATGGACTGGTACCAAGTTGTGGCATGCCTGCAACTGGGCCACACCAACAAGCAAAGCCCCATCTGTTGGATGCAGGCAGCACACAAAACCACATACTCTGCAGTCTGTGGAAGAATGGATGATTATTTACTTATTAAATTTTTATCCCGCTTTTATTACTTTATAAATAACTGAAGTTGGCAAACATACATAATACTTCTTCCACCTCCTGTTTTTCTCCCAGCTACTGTGAGGTAGGTTGGTCTGCGTGACTGGCCCAAAATTTTCTAAGCCAGTACCTTAAGTACTACACTAAACTATAAAATGTTTTGCTTATCATAATTTGGATATTACTAACTTACCCGTAATGGTTCACTTACTATCTGGCAAGAAAAGTCATAAAATGGGGCAAAATTCACTTACCAATTGTCTCATTTTGTAGCATAAATTTTGGGGTCAATTTAGGTCATAAGTCGAGAAATATCTTAGATAAGCTCAGTAATGCATACTCATGTTGTCATTTCTGATAACCCCTACTGGACTTCTGCTTTTAATAGGGAGGGAGGACGTTGTAGTTTATATAAAATGGGGGAAATATGAAATGAAGAGATGCTTGATTTTATTTTAAGAGTGATAAATTCTTCGTGGTGGTTATATTTCCTGAGAATGGAAAAGTTTTTTTTCTTTTTTTCTATCTCTCCTCCCTTTTCTACCCTTTATACTTTCTTTAATGTATTTTGTAGTTATATAAACTTTTATTTATTCATTTTATTTATTTACGTATGCCATCCATCTCATTAGGTGGCTTAAGACATTCAATTAAAATGCATTATAAACCATTAAAATAATAAATAAGGATCATAATTAAAATTTAATTAAAATTAACCAGGATAGACAGGGAGCAAAGTGTGCACAGGAAAGGGACAGAGCGGCATCTACTTCATTAGCCACCTCCAAAATCCATTGAGGCTCCAGGCTAGTTGGCACAGCCATGTCTTCAAAATTTCAATAAATTTTATTTGTACAATGTAATTTCTAATTATAGGAAAATGAATCTATGGCTAAATAAATAAACGTATATTGATCACTTATGTAAAGTCTATGTTGCTTTGGAAAAGAGGTCATTGATTTTATTTTTAAATATAAAAAATGACTTAACTTGCCAGTATCAGAGTTTGGATTGGATTTGAACATTAGAAATAGGAAAACAGCTTGAAATGTATTTAGTTATTAAATTTTTATGCCATCCATCTCAGTGTCCAAAATATAGCAAAAATAAATTATTAATATTGGAAATCAAAGTATATTAACTTTGCAATAGTGGCAAATATTTGTAGCTTGGGTGTAGGATGAGGGTAAAGGTTCGTTCTTTAAACTTGTGGATTGGTTTCCTAACGTTTTGTTACCAGCTAGGTAACATCTTCAGCAGAGTTTAGGGAATGTCAGTGTTCTGTTTATAAGGGCTTTGTGTGGTCAGTAGGTGTGGGTGTGTCATGACAACAGAATTCTCCAACCTCTAGGAATAGGAATAGCTCACAAACCCACAGCCACACTCCACCAGGAATTAGCCAGAACCAAAGATAAGATATAGAAGGATGAATGTAATCTACAACATCAATTATAACAATTGCAACCAATTCATAGCATCCATTAAAAACCAGGATCCACAAACATTGGCTGGCAGTCAAACACTACAATCCCAAATCCTTAATATCTACTCACATTGACACCAAATAGCACCAGTTTGATTGGAGCAACACAAAAATCAACGGCTACGCTACCACCTGCCATGCTCGTGAGTTCATCGAAGCCTGGAACTCCCCAAGCAATTCCATCAACAGACACATTGACCTACAATCAGCCTATGAACCCCTCAGAATCCAAATCAATCACACAGCCAACCAGAGACAACACTGACCCTCAACCAACCCATGCAAGCCTCCCCAACCAGCACTTCACTTCTCAGTGACCCACACCTGATGTAACCTCCCCAACACAAGACTATCACAAAACTCCACTGATGACTCACACCTGACCCATCACAAGATCTTCACTTGACATACTCATACCAGATCCATCACAAAACCTATTGACCACACAAAGCCCTTATAAACAGAACACTGACACTGATATCCCCTAAACTCCTAGCCTGGTAACAAAATGTCCAGAAACCAACCCACAAGCTTGGAGAATGAACCTTCACCCTCATATTAAACTTTCCTATATTTTTCATGTTTTATGTCTTTGGTTTGAAAAGAGAAATGAGGTCTTTTAGGATGATAATAATCTGTCATACCCACTTTGTATTAGTAATATTTGACTTACTGGAGAAACAAGAATGTGGAGAAAACGTGTTTACTAGTTACATCAGCTTATTTTCAATCAAAAGCCCTCAACATTTTTGTCATGATGAGAAAATTGAAGGCCAAAGACTAAACACCCTAGAAGACACTGGCTTGGGGATGTTTATATTGTGTAATCAAGTTTTATTAGAAAAGAATAGACTAATATGATTAATTGTGGCATTTCTTTTGTACAGAAATCTTCAGAATGGATTAATCTGGTAGTAATGTTGAAGCTGAAACAAAGCTGCTGTAACCAAAGACAGGATGAGTTGGATATCAGGCGATCAAGGCAGCAGTCTGGGTTCTCATCCTTCTTTAAGGGATGTTCATTCCATCAACCCAACACAGCTAATGCCAAGAATTGAGTCCTATGAAACCAGGGGGAAAAAAGGCATTTCTGATGTTCGAAGGACTTTCTGTTTATTTGTCACATTTGACTTATTGTTTATAACCTTGCTGTGGATAATAGAATTAAACGTGAGTTCCTTTTAAAAGTATATTTTTCTTTGAGAATTTGTGAGAGCAGGAATAGTGAAGACTTTCTTTAATTAAATTAGACTGCAGTCCTTTGCGTACTGAACTGGGACTAAACATAATTTCCCAAAAAGATAATATAGCACTGAGTTATTTGGAAAAGCTACTTATATAACAAAATGAACCATTTTCTTTAGAAGTGTTTGTATCATGTAAAATACTAAGAAAAGATAGCACTTGTGATAGCACTTTAATTTTTTGTAGATCCCTGAATCTCAGTCTATATCAGATACCCATATAAAAAGAAATACAGGTCCTCAATTTACAATCATTCATTTTGTGCCTATTCAAAGATATCAGCACTAAAAAAAATGACTTAAAAAGTTCTTCACACAACCAATGCAGCATCCCCACAATCACGTGATCAAAATTTGAATGTTTGGGACCTGGTATCCATTTACAAAATTTGCAGCATTTTAGGTTACATGATCATTATTTGCGTCTAATAGACAAAAATCAATAGGGAATCTGAATTCACTATAGAAAAAAAGAGTTGTAAAATTGGGCATGACTCACTTAACAACTACATTGCTTAACAACAGAAATTCTGGTCTCAATTCGGATCATAAGTTGAGTATTCTCTAGAGCAGCGTTTCTCATCCTGTGGGTCAGGACCCCATTTGGGGTCGAACAACCATTTCATGGGGGTCGCCAAACACAGTCCACCATTTTTCCCTCCTTTTCCTTAGCTGTGTTACTCCCTTTTATTCTATTGGCTTTTGAAAGCCAATAGAATAGACTCTCTTGAATAGAGTCTAATTCTATTGGCTTTCAAAAGCCAATAGGAATTGTCCAGGCTGTCTCTGCCCTCCTGAGCCCGCCAAAAGTCCCATTCTGCAAACGGTGCTGCACCAGTTGAGTAGTCCTCGACTTATGACCAGTTGAGTAGTCCTTGATTTACGACCGGTTGGGGGTCGCGGCATTAAAAAGGTTGAGAACCACTGCTCTAGAGCTATTAAGATATTGGGAAATAATATCTTAATAGTAGTATTCTCTAGAGCTATTAAGATACTGGGGGAAAAATAAGTGATTTATATTGTTATTTTATAAATCAGCTGCTGTTTGAAGATGGAAATTCTTTTGACTCTGAAAATGGAGCTGTCATATTAAATTTCATAAAATAATGTTTTATTGTTCCTGTTAAGAAGGAACTATGAAGGAACAAAAATGAATAATATAACTGCAATGTAAAGTTTACTTGGAAAGAGGTTTAATTGTGCATTTGATTTTATTGATATAGTGCATTGCTGATAGTGTGACCTGGAGAACTATTTTGGACCCCCCCAAAACCTGAATTGATGGTTACTTGTCACCTCAGCTGTTGTTCCATGAAAATTGATTTGGGGATTCTAAAAAAATAATAATTGAAGTTTGTTTATGGATTCTGGGAATAATTTTATTGTATACAGATAAGATGAGAGGAATTTTTGTAACTTGTACTTACATATGCTTTGCATGTGCGCACACTTAACACCCATACCTACATTAAACATAAGGGGAACTAAAAAGTAATGAAAATTTCACGGATTACTCTCATCTTCGTATATCAATATTACATGAGTCCAAGTGAAAAGATTTCTCCTTTCCTATTATTCAGGTTTACTTGCTTTACTGACTTGCTTTACTGGCTTTAAAGATTAATTAACTATAAATTCACAAAAGCAGAAGAAGTAATTAAAATAGGTTGAGTAATTCATACAAAAATAATGATATGAATTAGTGAAAAATCTTCTGTTAATTTCTTAAAATTATATGCAACAAAAAGATACTGATTTTGGTGAAAAGATACTGATTTTATTCATTTGGAGGATGGGGTAGTAACGTGTAAGAATGGCTTTTTATATAGTATTTATGAAAGTATTCATAGTGTATTTTCATAGCTTGTAATATGTTCAATTGTGACAGTCAGATGTGCAAAGAAGGAATTTTTGTGTTAATTCTTATTTACTATATGTGTGTGTGTGTGTCTATACACACACACACACACACACACACACACACAATATGTCAGAATATGACCCATTGAATTACTCATGTGCTTTGACTAAGAAGATCATTCAGCTAGTTATTTAAATCACATTTCTATGTTAAAGATAAATTTTGGCCACATCTATTTACATTTTAAAACATAACAATTGAGTAATTTATTATCTTAAATATACATGCACATTTTCTCCAAGGAAAAATAAAACGGAGCTAATTATCTTTCCCACACTTTCTACAACTCTACAGTTTGTTTTTACAAATTTGTGTAGATATAGGAATTCTGAATTCAGCATCTCATCCAACTTGATTTTAGTTCATAAAATTTGAGCAAGTTTTTATTATGCATGAGTAAAATGCAAGAAGCATAGTTCTTATTTAGTAATGCTTAATGTTTGTGGTGTTTTGGAATGCTTAAGCATTTGTTGTTAGTTGCGAAGTCGTGTCTGACCCATCGCGACAATGTTCCTCCAGGTCTTCCTGTCCTCTACCATCTTCTGGAGTCCATTTAAGCTCACACCTACTGCTTCAGTGACTCCATCCAGCCACCTCATTCTCTGTCGTCCCTTTCTTCTATTGCCCTCAGTCTTTCCAAGCATTAAGCTCTTCTCCAGTGAGTCCTTCCTTCTCATTAGGTGGCCAAAGTATTTGAGTTTCAACATCAGGATCTGTCCTTCTAAAGAGCAATCAGGGTTGATCTCTAGGACTGACTGATTTGATTGCCTTGCAGTCCAGGGGACTCGCAGGAGTCTTCTCCAGCACCATAGTTCAAAGGCCTCAATCTTTTGGCGGTCAGATTTTCTTCACAGCCATACATTGCAACTGGGAAAACCATGGCCTTGACTATATGCACTTTTGTTGACAGGGTGATGTCTCTGCTTTTTAGTATGCTGTATAGATTTGCCATAGCTTTCCTTCCCAGGAGCAAGCATCTTTTAATTTCTTGGCTGCAGTCCCCATCTGTGGTTATCTTGAAGATAAAATCTGTCACTACCTCCATTTCTTGCCCATCTAATTGCCAGGAATTGAGAGGGCCGGATGCCATGATCTTGCTTTTCTTAATGTTGAGTTTCAAGCCAACTTTTGCACTTTCCTTCTTCACCTGCATCGAGAGGCTCTTTAGTTCCTCTTCACTTTCTGCCATTAGAATGGTATCATCTGCATATCTTAGGTTGTTGATATTTCTCCCGGCAATCTTAATTCCAACTTTTGATTCATCTAGCCCTGCCTTTCTCATGATGTGCTCTGCATATAAGTTAAATAGGCAGGGCCTTGCCGGACTCCTTCCCAATTTTGAACCAATCAGTGGTTCCGTGTCCAGTTCTCACTGTTGCTTCTTGACCCGCATATAGGTTTCTCAAGAGACAAATGAGATGGTCTGGTACTCCCATCTCTTTAAGAACTTGCCACAATTTCTTGTGATCCACATAATCAAAGGCTTTAGCATAGTCAATGAAGCAGAAGTAGATGTTTTTGTGGAACTCCCTAGCTTTCTCCATGATCCAGCATATGTTGGCAATTTGATCCCTAGTTCCTCTGCCTCTTCGAAATCCTGCCTGTACTTCTGGTAATTCTCGATCCACATACTGCTGGGGTCTAGCTTGTAGGATTTTAAACATAACTTTACTTGCATTTGAAATGAGTGCAATGGTGCGATAGTTTGAACATTCTTTGGCATTGCCTTTCTTTGGAATTGGAATGTAAACTGACCTTTTCAAATCCTGTGGCCACTGTTGAATTTTCCAAATTTGCTGGCAAATTGAGTGTAGCACTTTTACTGCATCATCTTTTAAGATTTTGAATAGCTCAGCTGGAATACTGTCACCTCCACTAGATTTGTTTTTTTTTTTTTGTAAAAAAAAATTTATTTTCAATTTTTCATTACATTCATAAAGAGTACTTCAGATAAAGAATAAAATAAATTTATACACACAACTTTCGGTATTGCTCACCCATTTCCCCCCAAACCGCATCCACCCTCTAACCTCTTCTCTCACTTCCCTCTTTCCCTCTTCTTCCTCACTCTCCCCCTCTCCTCCTTCTCCTCAACCTTCCTACTTACTTCTCCCCTTCCTCCTATTTTCTCACTCCGGATGCAGTCCAGGGGAAATGCCTGAGCAATTCCTCTCTCCAAATTGAAACATCAGTATTATATACAATAAAACTATTTCTACTTATCTGAGCTATTTAACCTCCAACCATCCTCCCCCCACCCCCTACCCCCGCCCTCCGACTTCCCAGAGCCAAGTACAGGGTTATACAAACATATTAAACATAATCTATTTAAGTTTACTAATTATATAATAACCAAAATCATACTAACCCTTAACTCTCTTCAAACTTTAACATCATAATTTTATAAACAAATCCATTACTCATAAAATAAATGAAACTTTGTAGTTCCATATTTCTTCTGAACATATTCTGTCCATCTTCTCCATACAATAACATATCTCTCTTGTGTATGATCCTTTAAATAAGCAGAAATTTTAGCCATTTCTGCTAAATTAGAAACCTTAAATACCCATTCTTCTAAAGAAGGCAGAGAGTCTTTCTTCCAATATTGACCCACCAATAATCTTGTTGCTGTTATTAAATTCAACATTAAAATAGTTTCTTTAGCATCAAAATCCACAAAAATACCCCAAAAAATAATTGGGGAGTAAACTTAATTTTCCTTTTAAAAATCTTTTGAATGTTCCACCAAATCATAATCCAAAAGGCTTTAATATTTTTACAGGTCCACCAAACATGAAAATCAGTTGCATCCAAGCAACCACATCTCCAACAATTAGGTTGCAGGTTCGGGTACATACAAGACAACTTTTTAGGATCCAGATGCCATCTATAAAACATTTTATAAAAATTTTCCCTCAAATTTTGAGCCTGCGTAAATTTAACATTTTTAATCCAAATTAACTCCCATAAATCCAATGAAATCGGTTCCTGAATATTCTGGG